TGTTCAGGTTCTGAGAAGACAGGCTGTGGACCCAGCAGGTCTTCAGTGGACGTCTGTCTGTGTCCACTGTCCCAATGATTATTCAGCGTTTCCTTCAGACTGACTCCTCCAGGCTTGTGTACTTTGTCGTTAACTCTACTGGTGACTGCTGTAATTACATGTGTAATAATATCTAACTGCTGAGTCATAACAGATCTGGACTTCAATGACCAGACCTTCAGACCTTCAGGCCTGATGACCCGATGACCTCTGGTCTCACAGGTGCAGCAGCTGCTTATTAAGGCCCCTGATGTTCGCTGCTGCTTTTATTACTTGTTGCTAAAAGGTGCAGCAGGCTCCGCCCCCTTTGAAGCGTCTCTCTCACACACACACACACACACACACACACACACACACACACAGGAGCTTCTTTTTCCTCCAGATGAGCAGCTGCTGCGCCTTCACAGAAATAATTACAGACTAGCAGTGAAGCAGCCTAAGCTGATGATGACGGTCCCCCTCAACCCCCTCCACCACTGATGCTGCAGCGACAGAAACAAACACAGCTCTCTGCTGCGTCCCGGCCTCTCAGGGTTTACAGAGAGATTAAAGTGATTCCTGAACGCAGGTGGAAGGAAATGCTGGAAGTCAGCGAGTAACTTTCATGTCCCCGAGAACCAGGTCCATCATCAGCACCGACAGACGATGAAAGACCCCAGCTGCTGTACGTTGAAACTTGGAGAGAAAGTGTTTCAACCAGTCTGGAAGTCTGAGACAGAATGTTCTGAGGAGTTCTGACTTTGCCAGTGAAATACTATAGATTACCCCCCCCCCCCCCATACCCCCAGGTAGAGCTGAGATTATAATCTGACACTTAAATTCTGATGCGTTGAAGTTTGTTTTACTGCAGTGAAGGAGAAGACCTTACCCTGCAGACAAACAAGGGGGGCTGAGGACCGCGATGACACGCCCTGTCAGCTGATCACCATGTGACTGCAAATCGATGACCATCATGTCACCTCCTCGCCTGCAAGATAAAGAAAAGTAGGAGGTGATGTCAGTGTTACTCCTGCCTTACAGTAAGCAGGTGAGCAGTTACACCCCCAGTGGTAATGATCTTCATACATTGTTCAGTGATTCATTTGATAATTGAGCTGGTCTGCTGCTGCCTCGTGTGATGAGTTTGTGTCATTGAGGTCATTATAAACTAAAGTCACTAAACAGTAAAATATTACATTACATTTAGCAGACACTTTTATCCAAAGTGACTTCCATTTGGTTCCTCTGGGAATCAAACCCAGGACTCTCTGCTTCCAAGGCAGGCACGCTAACCACTACACTGTGGAACCCACAACATTCCTATATCAGAGGAAACAGTGTTGGACGAACCTCCTCAGTGATGTGATGTCACTGATGGTCTTAACAGATGATGGAAGGAAGGTAATGATGTTTGGAGAATTGGATCAGAGTGTGTGTGTGTGTGTGTGTGTGTGTGAGTGTGTGAGTGTGAGTACCTAGGGATCCACAGAGACCCACTGACAGGCAGGACAGTGAAGGCCTGCAGCTCAGAGCCTACGTCAGACAGAATCTCCACAGAGTCCAGGTCAGGACTGATGGACTCCTCCTGGTTCTGGCTGCTGCTCAGCGTCTCCTGCTCCGACTGTACTTGTGACTGTACTTGTAAATGTGGCGATGACTGTAGCGGTCTGGGCGTGCCGTCACTGAGATAGTCCATGGACGGTGGCTCTGAGGTGGCGGTGGTTGAGGAGAAGGAGCAGCTGGAGGAGATGGAGCAGTAGTCCGTCAGTGAGTCCTGGTGCTGGATGATCTGAGTCCCGGCCTCCTGACTGTAGATCAGGGTCACCTCTCCACTCATCTGTCCTACGTCCTCCACCTCACTGGAGCTCCTCAGGTCACTGGTTGTCACTGCGGTGATTGCTGTTGGACGCTGGACAGTGAAGACGTCTCTGAGAGGGTTACTGTCCCCGCAGCTGAACAAGAAGTAAACGACCAATCAGAAATCTTCTGACCCGAGTTCTGACTATGGTGACTCACTGTCACAAAGACTGCTCTGACACAAGTATAAAGATGGTAAAAAAAATGTATCATGAAAATAAAAAAATTGGAAATTAAAAAAATATTTACCATTACCATTATTATAGAACACTGTATATTTCGCTGCAATACAGCGAAACTCTCACGAGATCAGAATAAAAAAAAGGATGTACTGAGGGACTGAAAGGAGAATCGCGATATAGAGAGGGAACACTGTATATGAGAAAAGGCACCCATCTGGACCTTCCCTGGTCCACTCACCAGTACTTGGCACAAATCTGAAAGGAGGCAGCGTGGTACAGCAGCATGGTGTTGGTGTGGTCGTCCAGCAGCCACACTGACTCCTCCCCCCACAGACTGAAGCTGGTTGCCATGGACACCACCGTGGACGGCAGCTCATATGGATCTAAACGCTGAAGAGCCTTGAGGCTGAGTGAGTCGACCACCAGAACTCCAGGACCGTTGGAGAACCACAGCTGTAGAACACAGGGACTGTTGGTCAGTGGAACCCGTAGGTCAAGAGTGTGAAACTGAGATGGGACCAAAGCCACGTGGAGCTCTGGTTTCGGTACTAACTTCTTGGGCTGCCAGTGAGGACAGCGGGTCTAACCTGGCTCGGTTCTGACTCACCTGAGACCCTCCACTGACCACAGCCATGGTCTTAACAGCAAACGGTCTCTGTCTGGGATCGGAGTCCTTCAGACCAAAGGTCGTTTTGTTGAGTGTGTGTGAACACAGGTAGGTTTCTCCGTCCAGAGGCAGGTGGTCCAACAGACTGTAGACAGTCACCAGACCATCAGACATCCCAGCAAACACTCTGTCCAGACTCTGGTGGACCAGGACAGCACACAGACAGATGAAAATGTTTTCATAATTCAGAAGAACGTCTGTGATGGAGGACTGAAGGATCTTTTAAATTATTAAATTAATTTCAATTTTAAACTGTCTCAGAACCTTTTAACAACATAACTAGCCAATCAGAGCCTGATTTAATAAAGTGGTGTCATGTGATTCACAGGTCAGTGATGAATAAACATGAAGAAAACTTCACTCCAACTCTGGTCGTAAACATGTCTGTGTTTCTGTGAACACCTTCATCTCCAGTCACTCATTCTGTTTGTTTATGTTCATCATACGTCAACGTCACTGGTGCAGGAGAACCACCACGACAGTTGACTGACCATAAAACAGTGTGTAACACTAAAGAAAGTCATACACTTTAACAGTGTGTGACCTCTGACCTCTGACCTGCAGCTTAGCTTCCAGTCGTTACTCAATCTCACTGGTTACCTTTGAAGTGGATCCAGCTGTTACCAGAAACTAGAGTGATAGGGGACGGAGGGCTTGGGGGGTTGCTGTGTGTGTGTGTGTGTGTGTGTGTAGGTGTGTAGACCTGTTGTGGAGCAGGAACAGGAAACAGACAGGTGACCATGGCTGGACAGCAGAAGTGTTTCTGTGGTTGACTGAGTGGACACATGTCCTTCAGACTGTAGATGAACACTTCCTGTTCCTGTCACGGCAAAAACACAGCAGAACAAGTCCCTCAGCTGCAGTCCATAATCCTCCAGGTCTTCAAGGAACTTTTAAAACACTATGTGGAACAGATTCTAAAAGTCTGAAATGTTTTTATTTCGGCTGAAGTTTTTCCTTCCAACAACCAACAACTAAAACCTTAGTGTGGTTAAGGTTAAACTGATGGCTAAGATTTAAACTCTGAATTAGCTAAATATCTGAAGTGTCTTTTCACTAGAAATAAATCCATAAAAAGAACCAAAACCAACCAGTACCAACATTCAGTCCAACTCCTGGACCACTGCTCACATACATGGACACAAGCCTCCGTGTACAGTGCAGTACCTCAGTGGCGATCCAGAGAGTGGTGGCGGTCTTCATCTGACAGCTGATCCGTCCTCCTGGACAGGACATCCTCTTCACCTCCATCTGAGCCTTCTGGACGTTGATCACACTGTAGTTCCTTTCCACACACACACACACACGCTGACTGTTGGGTCATTTCTAACCTGTCACCTCAACTACATATCCAAAATTCGAAACTCACCGGCCGTCCTTGTCGTACTGTTGAGTCGAAACTCACCGGCCGTCCTTGTCGTAGCTCCAGAAGACGGCGCTGTGTCCCTGCAGCTCCGACAGGAAGAGCTGAGAGTGGATGTCACATGACAGGACGTACCTGAGACAAGGGAAGCTGGGGTCCTGCATCTGCCGCACACACTGCAGGGCCAGAGGCCTCTGTGGACGAAAGACCAAAGACAGAAACAAGTCATCCAGGTCTCTGGTCCTACAGGAAGTCCAGAACCTGGAGTGGTCCAGTGACTGTGATGCCGTCTTCATAATAACTCTTTATGGTCAAACAAAGCAGCAATCCAGACCTGGACCCAGCAGTCAGGTCCAACTGAAAAAGGTTTTTGGACACAGAGTCAAAAGTCCTCAAATCTAAGCCAAGTGTCCAGTAGACCAGTGGCCCCCAACTTTTTTTGTACTAAGGACCAGTCGAGTCCTGGCCAGTACCACAGACCGTTAATCAAATGAGTTACAGGAGTTGGACTGTGGAGTTGAAGGTCCAGTAGGGGGAGCTGTGGGAAACTGATGGAATGAATTACACAACAAAACCCAATAACAGGAAGTGAAAATCCTCCTCCGTGTCCATGTCATCATCTGGTGTCAGTTTGTTTACTCATGTTGTTTGGACTTAAATATAAAATCTCCATAGAAAAGTCCATGGAGAAAATGGTTTACTGCAGCCTCTTGTGGTCATATGCAGTAGTGTCACTGGGGTACAGCTGATTAAAAGAAATCATGTTTGTACTGACAGAGACGAGCCTCGGCCTCAGTGTGAGCTGAAGCCGACACATCCATCCTACAGACCTTGGTGTGTCCTGAGTGGGGGTCATGTGTGGACAGCTTCTCACCCGCTCAGGCTTAGTGTCCCAGCATTCAGTCAGCATCCGGTGAAGGCAGTGGAACTGGACTTCCTCTGGATTGCCGAGGGCTGGTCGTACACCCTTGGAGAGCTTCTTAGCTATCTGAAGCTGGTGCTGACCCAACGCTGGCCGTCGCCCTGACAACAGCTCGTACAAAACCATGCCATAGGAGAACATATCCACCTTAGCCAGGCAGCAGTGAAAGGAAGAAGAACAGAGATCAAAATAAGGATTGTGTAGAGAGTGGCTGTAACAGAACATCTGCATGAAACATCAACAACTGGAGGTGATTAACAACCTCCCTGTAGATTAGAATAATGTTCAGTCCTCTGCGTAGTGTTTGGTAGCTGTGAGACAAGCTGGAAATTTCTCAAACAGCAGTGCAGCTCTGTCTGTTTGGACTTTAGCTGATGACACTGGATGACTGTGCATTTTGAATGAAACTAACCGTACACTCTCAACGTTCTTTAATAGCCACAGGAACTGGTCAGGTTTTTTAACACATCCTAAACAATGTGACCTTCTATCCCTCTATTGCTACCTGCTAAGAGCTAACTAACCACTGTTCATTAACATACTCAACATAAGGATCTCTGACTCAAACAGGACGTTGAAGAAAGTTGTCTGCGTGAACAGTTTTTTTTTTCTTTCTCCACTTCCTGAGACACACTGGCTTTTAATTTAAATTTAAAACAACAACAACACAAAAGACTTTCACTTTCTGTTTATAGAACAGGGCCAACCACCCCGCACACCCCCTCCCTGCTCAGTCTCCTGTCCTCGGAGTCTGTTATCAGAGCAGAGAATTCCAGCCTCCCAGTGTTCAGATACAGAGTGGAGGAGTTCGACATTCGTGGGAATTCCCAGAATAACTGAAGAGCTAAAGAGCTTGGCGACGCCAGCAAACACTCTCACGGCTGCCTCTGAGCTGACATCACTGATAAACTCCAGCTCTGAGCATCTGTATGTGTGTGCAGTGATGTCACCACTAAAACAATGGTTTGGTCATATAAGGACATTCCTCCAGGAACACACTAAAAACATTGGACTCATCTCACATCGTCTGTTCTTCACATGTTCCTGAGACACAACCTTCAACAGAGTGATGACATCATCTCA